ATGGAGGCTGGGGTGGAAGACTGTGTCGGCAGTGGTGTGGACCGGTGTTCTCGGGCTGTGGGGACAGTCCTGGGCAGGGCTCGCGTGGGCAGGGCAGAACCGAGAACTCCTGGGCCCTGGGCGGTGTCTTCTGGACAGGATGGTTTCAGTGCAGGCTCTTGGTGGGCTGCTGAGTACGAGGTGGCAAACGTCAGGGCCCTCACTGTTGCTCCCTCTGCCTTCCCGTGGCGTCCTTGAGAGGGCCCGCCTTCGCCTCTGACTGGGTTCTCTCTGTGGTCGGCAGGCCAGGGGCCAGCTGTGGCGAAGGATGACCCAGGTGGTCCACGCTGCTGTAGCCGATGTCACCACGGACTCTTCAACACCCACTGGAGATGCCCGCGCTGCGACCGCCGGCTGTGCATGGCATGTGGCCGCATGGTGGGCGCTGGGAGGACCACGGAGAAAGCAGGTAGGAGAGGAGCTGGGCCGAGGCCAGGGTGGGAGGGAGCCCTCAGTGAGGCTGCTACCAGGTTTGTGGCCATCCTGGCTGCTTCTCCCCAGGAAGTGTCCCACCCCTGCCTGCCCCAGCATCAACCACCACTGCTCACTGCTCCGTAGAGCAGACCTTGCCCTCTCTAGATCGGAGGGCTCTGCCTGGGTCCTGCCTGCCGTTAAAAGAAGTTGAGTGCTGGGACCAGCAGTTGGTGTAATGGCTATATCACTGGACTCCCATGTAATTGAATGTGGTTCGAGTCCCGGACCCTGTGGCTTAAACTCACGCTGGGCGCGTGTGCACGCGTGCCCAAGATCCCGAGAGGAGAATGGAGGAGAAGGGACTGGCCATCTCCCTTGGGGGGTGATTTCTCGCTTTCTGTCTCTCTGTCTCTCTTTGTCTTTCTGGAGAGTAAAAAAAAAAGAAGTCGAGTGCCCACTGCACGCCCCCCACTTTGCTCAGTTCGCATCTTTTAAAACTTATCATAGTGCTCTATATTGTAGTATAGTATCATTGTCTCCATTTCCCAGATTAGAAAAGCTCAGAGAGGTTTGGTGACTTGTCCAGGGTCACACAGAAAGTGCTGGCAGCCGGGACTCTGCCCTGTTCTTTTCATGGCTCCTAGTGCTCCCTCCTGGAATAACTCAGCCACCAAGTTGCCCACGGTTCCAGGAGACTCTGCCACAGAGTTCCGCTTGGGGACATTCTCCTCTATGCGACCACCTTGGAGCCTTGCAGATCATCTCGGGGCACTAAAGCCTCTGAGCTCTGAGAGCCTTTGTCTGCATGCCCTCTGTCACCGAGCACCCCGGGGCTCCATCAGGCACGTGTGCTGGGACGTGCCCCGCCCCTCGGCTGAGGCTCCACGTCTGCCCGTCTTCCCTGGCCACAGCCTGTGGTTGTCTTGAGTTGGGGACCTGCAGCGTCTCCCTTCTTACTCCACAGGCTCACAGGAGCAGTCTGGGGCGTGTGCCCAGGAGGCTGGCCACACTACCTGTTCCCTGATGCTGACCCAGTTTGTCTCGAGCCAAGGTGAGCCATCCTGGGGGGGTGTATGTGCAAGGTGGGTCCTGAGGGAGCCCAGCTTCCCGTGTGGGTGTCCTCACCCAAAGCCCTGGCTCTGGGTGGTGAGGTCAGATGGATGGGGTGCCTGTGGGTCCATACCCGCACCCAGCTCCCCCCTCTCCTCCCCTTCTCTCCCCTCCTCTCCTCTCCATTCCCAGTTCTGGCAGAGCTGGGCACTGCCATGCACCAGGTCTGGGTCAAGTTTGACATCCGCGGGCACTGCCCCTGCCAAGCCGATGCCCGGGTGTGGGCCCCCGGGGATGGGGGCAAGCAGGTAAGAACCAGGGCATGGCGCAGGGGACAGGGCCAGTATGTCTTCAATGACTGACTTTTGCGGGGGGCTGGCCCTTTCTGTTTGATGGGGAGGAAGAGGGACATGGGAGCCGGTAAAATCAGGCTACTTCCCACCTGCCCCGGGGATGAGGGTCCGGTGGGGCACGCTAGCATCTGGCTGTCCCCCCTGCCCACCAGGAGTCCTCACTCCTTGCCTGCCCGAGTCCTGTCCCTGTGCGTGTGCTCCAGCCTGGCCCTTGTCCACGCCTCCTTTGGGAGGGGCGCTGTCCACATGCCCACCTAGCTTGGGGCAGGTGCTCTATCTGCAGATTTCTGTAGAGTTCGCGTTGGGATTTATTGTAAGTTTCTTTATTCATTCTGTGAATGAGAGACAGAGACAGACAGAGATACAGCTCCCCGACAGTCTTACCATCTCGATCCACCCCAGCCTCAGCCAGCCCGGATCATGCGTGCGTGCGTGCCTGGCAGACTCAGGGTGGTCTGCAGACCCAAGGCAGCAGCCACCCCGGTGGGTCTGGCTGGCCGCTCACTGTCCGACGGCTGCCTCCCTGACTGCCCCACGTTTTTATCATGAGCCACCCATTCGAGAAACAGGAGAGGACTTCCCACAGTTCACGGAAAGATGGAGTTGAAGTATAAGTTCATTTCGTTGCGAAAAGTTTAAATCCTTGCGTACTTTTTTCATGCTATGCCATGTCCGTGACCTTTCTGAAGACCCTGCGTAGTGGGCGGAGTGCACCGTGCGTGCCAGGCTCTGCTAGAAACCGGAAAGTGTGGGAAGCAGACGGCTGGGAGGGCAACGCCGCCCTGACGTCTCATGCCATGGGCGTGTTGATGGGTTCTCTTCCCGTCATTTGTCCATCTGGGCACCCTTAGACCCAGGACATGTAAAGGCCCTTGAGTACCTTTTCCCTGCCCACTGGCACCTCCGGGAACGTTCCGCCCCATGCCAGGCTGTGGGACTGCAGGGGTGCGCTGCTGCTTCTCGTGGGTGGAGCTGCGAGTCCGGTCTGCCATTTCCTCAGTCTCTGGTTGGACTGGGGGGTGGTGGGTGGGTTTCACAGAAGGAGCCGACAGAGAAAGCCCCCGCAGCCCCACCACCTTCCTGTAATGGGGACACCGACAGGACCAAGGACATCAAAGAGGGTGAGCGGCCCCTCCCGGCCCGGACTGCGCAGGGAGGCTGGGCCAGGGTTTGGGCAGGAGGGACGGCGCAGACCGCTCCGGGGGTGACTCAGAACTTCTGCAGCGAGCCCTGCCCCAGCCTTCTCACCGGCCAGACTCCCACATGGGCCCTGGCTCCCCAGTTCTGGGGCTGCCTTCGGGGGAGGCGCCGGGTGGTAGGAGGCCCCCAGCAGAGCTGAGATGGGGGTGCTGGTGAGGAGCCGGCTCGGCCAGGCCCTGAAGGACCAGCATGGTGGGCAGTGAGCCTCCGGAGAAAGGCGAGAGGTACACAGGAAGCTTCTCCCCACTGTCCTCCCTGACAGAGAGCCCAGACTCTGCCGAGGCTCCCGCAGAGGACCGTGCCAGCCGAGGGCCCCTGCCGTGTCCCTCTCTCTGCGAACTGCTGGCCTCGACTGCTGTCAAGCTCTGCCTGGGGCATGAGCGGATACACATGGCCTTTGCCCCCGTCACTCCGGCCCTGCCCAGCGTGAGCAAGGGCGCCCAGGGAAGGCTGGGAGCCGTGGAGCCTGGGCCTCCCCGGGCAGTGGGTGCTGAGCCCTCCTGCCACCACCCCTCCCCACAGGACGACCGCATCACCAACATCCTGGACAGCATCATTGCCCAGGTGGTGGAGCGGAAGATCCAGGAGAAGGCCCTGGGGCCGGGGCTGCGCGCGGGGCCCGGCCTGCGCAAGGGCCTGGGCCTGCCCCTCTCGCCAGTGCAGCCCCGGCTGCCTCTTCCGGGGTCCTTGCTGTGGCTACAGGAGCCCAGGCCTCGGTGCGGCTTACACCTCTTCCAGGAGCACTGGAGGCAGGGCCAGGTGAGGCTTCCTCCTCTCCTCGCCTCTCCCTGCCTCTCCCACTCTCCCTGCCTCTCCCCGCCGCCTTTCCCACCTAGCTCTTGCCCAGCGGCTGGGGTAGCCCTGGCCCCTGCACGGTCACGCTGACCCCAGTGCGCCCAGCGGGCTGCAGCCACTCCCCTCCTGTTCCCCACTGCAGCCCGTGTTGGTGTCAGGGATTCAGAAGACATTGCGAGGCGACCTCTGGGGGCCGGAAGCTCTTGGGACACTCAGAGGCCGGGTGCAGATGCTGCCCTCCCTCGGAGCCCCGCAGTCCGCCAGCCTGGGCAGCACAGCATTCTGGGAAGGCTTCTCCCGGCCAGAGAGTAAGTACCTGGCTGGGACTAGAGGGGTTGGCCGTCTCTGTCCTGAGGACCAGAGGTCCCCAGGGCGGCTGGAAGCAAGGCCCAGGGCAGAAGCTAGGCTCAGGTGCCGCCCCCCAGGAGGGGCCTCTGGACTCCTGCCTGGGCCGGTCGCCACCAGCTCCTGCCTGGGCCGGTCGCCATGCGCTCTCTCCCCTAGCTCGGCCGAAGTCCGATGAGGGCTCAGTCCTGCTGCTGCACCGAGCACTGGGAGAAGAGGACGCCAGCAGGTGTGTCCTGGCCCCAGGGCCGGCCCTGCCTCCCCGCCGCCCCTGCCTGGTCCATCACACCCTCTGCTCCACCCTGTGACCTCGAGGGGCACTGGCGGGGTCTCTGGTGCCCAGCTGGCCTGCTGGGCTGACTCCAGCCCCCTCCCCCCAGGGTGGAGAACCTGGAGGCCAGCCTGCCGCTCCCTGAGTACTGCACCCTCGGTGGGAAGCTCAACCTGGCTTCCTACCTGCCGCCAGGCCCTGCCCTGCGCCCCCTGGGGCCCCAGCTCCAGGCTGCCCATGGTGAGTGCCCTCCATCTGCAGTGCCCTCCCAGGCCTGCGGGCACGTGCTGTGTGCGCCATGGTCCCAAGGTCTGAAGCGTTTCTCTGTTCCATTTCCACTGTCTTTTCTCCACCTCCGCGCAGGGGTAAGCCCACACCGGGGCCACCTGGGGACCAAGAACCTGTGCGTGGAGGTGACTGACCTGGTCAGTGTCCTGGTGCACGCTGAGGCACCGCTACCCGCCTGGCACCGTGCACAGAAAGGTGGGTCCTCAGCCCAAGACAGGAGTGGTGCCAGGCTGCAGGCGTCTGTCTCCGCTGCCCTGAGCCATCTTTCTCTCCCAGACTTCCTCTCGGGGCTGGACGGCGAGGGGCTCTGGTCTCCAGGCAGCCAGGTCGATGCGGTGTGGCACGTGTTCCGGGCACAGGACGCCCAGCGCCTCCGCCGCTTCATCCAGATGGTGAGAGGGAGCAGGAGCCGCCCCCTCCCCAGTGCCCTTCCCTGTCCCTAACCCCAGGGCCCATGGCTTGTGAGGTGAGTCAGACAGAGCCGCCCCACCAGGACAGGTGCAGAGAAGGCAGGACCCCGAGTTCTGGGTGGGGCTCAGAGACAGAGCAGCATGTCATGGAGGAGGATCTGGGCCAGCCCTGTAGCCTAGTTGTTAAGGGAGCTGGATCCCACATGGCCCACTGCAGTTCGAATCCCAGCCCCAGCAGTTTGGAAAACTCGCCTGGCATGTGTGCCCCAAGTCCTGGCTGGATGGAGGAATGGAGACGAGATAGCGGCATGACCACGCCCCACTTTGGGGTGCTTTCCCTTTCCCTCTCTCAAACCAAGACTTGGGCAGAGCCGGGATCTGGGCTTCTGTCTGTTCTGACCCCAGGTCACTACTCTGGGCTCCTCCTGCCGGCAGGCAGCCTCCCTTCCTGGGCTCGGGGAGGGGGCGTGAAGGAGGGGTGCACCTGAGGAGAGGGCCTTCCTGGGTGGGGGGACTCTTGGTGGTGCTAATAGAACCACCTGGGGGAGGCAGGTAGAGGGAGAGCTGGCCAGGAGAGGGGCAGGGGAAGGAGGTGGTGGGGTTGCAGGGGTGTGCAGCTCCAGGGGCACAGGGGAGGGAAGCCAGGGTCAAGGTCAGGACAGTGCAGTGGTCCACCTGCGTGCTGCTTGTCCTGGGAAAGGCTTCCCGCAGGGTCCCCTCGCCAAGGCACACACACAGATGAGCCGATGCCGGCACGGTGTCCCCACCAGCCTCCTGCACACAGGCATGCGTGCTGCAGAGGGGCCAGACGGAACACACCCTCATACCCAGTGGGCTCTCCTGGGCTGGGAGTGGCCGGCGTGGGCCTTCCCCCAGGGTCCAGCCCAGAGATCTTAGGTAGGGGGAGGTGGTCTGGGAAGCTCTGTGCCAGCCCCAGATGGACGAGCCTCTCCAGAGACGAAGGGATCCCAGGCTGACCGGGGCCCCCGCTGGGTCGTTTGCTTTGCCAGCCACCTCTGGCCCACACCCAGTTTGGGAGCCCTAAGCCCAGGGCCGATGGGAGGTCCTGGTGGAAGGGGTGATTTAGCAGGGGCCAGTTGGAACACAGTGGCGGTGCACACCCCTGCAGGGGCTCCTGGCATGCCTCCTCCAGCCTCTATGAGTCCCTGCCTGTCCAGCTCCTGCTCTCTCTGGGCTGGCCTTAGGCTGGTCAGGCAGGCCCATCCCCATACCCGTCTAAGCGCCCATGTGGCCTCACTTGTCCTGGACCTTGAGGAATCTGATGAATCTTTGATCTCCCCTGGGACGCACAGCTACTCACCCACCCACAGCTTAGCACGTACTTCAGGCCATCCCGAGACTCCATGTTAAGAACTCCTAGTGTAGACAGCTTATGGATTGGGGTTATGCAGGACCTCTTCCTGGGTTTTGGAGAAAGGGGTCCCACTGGGACAGGGAGCAGAGGGGCCAGGGCCCCCGAGGTTATTACAGGCACAGCCCCAGGAAAAGCAGGGATTTCCACCCCCAGCTTCAGAGGCCTAATCCTTTCCTCTAAGCGCCTTCCAGCGTGTCCCTTCAGCCGACCTGAGCTGCCCAGCCCCACCACCCAGCCCTTCCCTCCTGCCCCTACGTCCTCCCCTGCCTGCCCTTGCAGACCTGACTGCTGAGCTCCTTCCTGCTCCTCTGCCCTCTGGGAAGCCCCTGGGCCCACCCCCGCTCCCCAGCCCCTCGCTCACCTCCACTTCTCTTCTTTGAGGTGTGCCCGGCAGGGGCAGGCAGCCTGGAGCCTGGTGCCCCTGGAAGCTGCTACCTGGACGCAGGGCTGCGGCGGCGCCTGCGGGAGGAGTGGGGTGTGAGCTGCTGGACCTTGCTACAGGCCCCCGGAGAGGCCGTGCTGGTGCCGGCAGGGGCTCCCCACCAGGTGCTTCCTGGCGGGCGGGGTCCGTGGGGAGAGGGAGCCAGGCCCCATGAAGGGAAGACGAGAGGCTGAGTGGCCGTGAGGCCCTCGCACCCGTGGGGGCCTGCCCCAGAGGTCTGGGTCTGACCACGCAGAGGGCCTTTGCTCTTCCCTGGCATCCCTCTGGGCTGGGTTTGGCCACAGCCTTTGGGGTGCCTGGTGCTGTATGCAGGGCCCCTGCCCTCTGAGGGCTGGCTTGGGGGTCACTAGAGAAAGTAACTCTCGGGGATCAGAGGTCAGAGAGCAATGCCCGACCTGGGCCTCCACTCACACTCCTGCACGTCGTCCCCACCCAGGTGCAGGGCCTAGTGAGCACGGCCAGTGTCACTCAGTACTTCCTGTCCCCCGAGACCTCTGCCCTCTCTGCTCAGCTCTGCCACCAGGGGCCCAGCCTGTCCTTTGACCACCATCTGCTTTATGCCCAGGTGAGTGACACCCACCAGTGGGGCCCCTTGGCGCGGCTGCAGTGGCCACAGCTGGGCGTTCTGTGGGCAGGCTGTGGCCTGTGCAGAGGGTGTTCTTGAGCAGGCTGGGGCAGGGGTATGCCTGACACGCCCTGTCCTCTCTCTCCTAGATGGACGGGGCTGTGTTCCAAGCAGTGAAGGTGGCTGTGGGCACATTACAGGAGGCTAACTGAGGGGACCCAGGTGTCTGGGGAGGAGGGAGGCAAGGCACCAGGTGTACAGCCGAGGTGCAGCTTCAGCGGGGGTGGCTGCTGGGGGACTTGGGGACCTTGGGTCATCCCCACAAGCACCACTCTGGGCTCTAGCAGGACATCCTGTTGCTCATCCTTGCCCTGGGCCCTAAAGCCAACAACCGCAGTGCCACCAAAGCTCACACCTGCCCTATGCAGGCTGGCACCTGCTCCACCCCTGCAGCCCTCTCCATGGTCCCAGGCCCACAGTGGGTGACGACTCCCTCCCAACCCAGGGGACAAACAGCTCTTCCTTGGGGGACCTTGGGAAGCATTCTGGCTTAAGCGACACTTCTTTCTGCTGCCTCATTCCTACTGTCCCTCCTGTGTCCCAAGTTCTGCTTACACCACCCGCAGCCTCCCTGGGCCCCCGCAAGCCCGTTACAAGGCAGCATGCTGGACAAGGGGTCACTGATGTTTGGCCCTCTGGACAAAAGAGCCTGACACGTGCGAGAGATGCCTCCGGAGCTGCTGGACCTGGCCGGAGGGGACGGCACAGCCACGTCTCAGTCCTGCTCGCTGTCGTGGTGCCCATTAAAGTCTGTTGTTTTGTGAGCATCAGTGTGGTCGGTACTGCTCCTGCAGGCCACGTGGTCCAGGGAGGAGAGCTGGAAGTCTGCTCTGGAGCAGAGGCAAATGGGGTGGGGCAGTGGGGACCGGGCCTGGTGACAGGGACCTCAAATACCACTGCCTGCTCTCTGGGGCCTGGGTCGCTGTTCCCCTGAAGATGCAGGCCAGGCAGAACCCTGAGGCACAGCGGCGGGGTGGCTTCCCAAATAGCATCAGCCTGCAGATTCTGGAGCCCCACCCATCGCAGCAGACTCCAGGCCACCTCACCTGTCCCGTCTGCCCTGACCTGGAACTCCAGCAGTGCCCTGGCCCAGCCCAGCCGCCCTGGGGCATGGGCTTCACTGCCTGGGACAGCTGGCCCTTCCCCTCCTGCCCCAGCTCACGCCCATCTGAACAGCTCTGCCCTCTGCCCCTTCCCTGTGTGTCTCAGCCTCACAGACTATCCCATCCATCTGTTGTTCCTGCCGTGGTTTGGGGAGTGTTTTTTATTAAATAAATTTTTTTATTATAAATGTAATATTCTTTCAGAACATTTGGAAAGTCACCTGCAAGCCCACCTCTCCTCGCCCCTAGCCCAGTGCTGTAAGCACCGGGGCGCGTTCCCTTCCACAGACCTCTGGCACCAATTTGAACGGCGTGCTTCAGCTGTGGCTCTTTTGTTTACCGCTGTGCTGTCACTGTCTTCCAAGTTGCTCCTGGTCCTAATTTTAAATGGTGGCTTATATGTCACCAAGTGGCCTTGCCACAATTTACACAACCATCCTTCATTTAAAGAAAAAAAAAAGTTGACTGAAGAGCTCAGTTGCTTTTACTTTGCCACGGGATTAAAAGAAAGAGAGAAGGTCTAGCCTGGTGACAGTCAAGAGTGGACTGAGCTGTGTGCTGGAAGCCACATGGCTGACCACGGGTTCGGGTCCTTGGGTCGGCCTGAAAACACAACAGGTGTGGGCCCAAGACCCTGATGAACTGGAGGGCTGGGGGGCAGATCACAGGCAAACAACAAAAAAAATTAAAAAGTAGAGAACGCCTCCTTACTGTGCTATTTTCATCCAACGTCTCATTTAACCACTTTCAATTAAGTGATTTCATTTAATAATCCCTTATTGCTATTTTCAAGTAGATATGATTTATTTTCTTTTAAAAAATAATGACTTACTTAATTTTTTGTTATTAGTATTTTTAGTTTGACCATCGGAGACAGAGAGAGGGGGAAAGGGAAAGTGAGAAAGCAGCTGCCAGGTCCAGGACTTGAACCGCAGTTGTCCATGTGGAGGTCTAGCGCCTTAACCACCACGCCACCTGCTGGCCCTGATATAATTTACTTTCATTTTACAGAAGAAGAAACAGGCAGATTGGGGTTAAGTAAGCCATCAAGGTCACATGGCAATTTTAGTGACAGAATAGGGATTTGAAACACGTTTTCTGACTCAAGCCACTGCGTTCACATGGTACTTTTGGCTCTTAAAGGAGTTTAAAGATGGGCTTGCCCTCTCTGTCCTCCTGCCTGCAAGGAGTACACTTAGAGCTGACCGCATTCCAAGTAGCACCGAATGACCCATTCCTACCTACACTGCTGCTTCGAGCCGTGTCCCGGCGCCACCCCAGAACCCAGGGGAGATGAGGCTCTGACCTTCATCCATTAGGGCAGGAAGGCTTAGTCCTCAGACCTCTCTCTTCCTGAGACTTGTCTCACCGTTCCCCTTCCATGATGGGCCCAGCACCCCGAGGGCTTGGCAGACTGACTGAAACAGCAGGTGGACCAATGTTCATGGGTTTAAGGGCTCGACCTGGGAATGAAGCCAGTCTAGGCAGGACTGACCCTCAGGCTCAGCTTGGGCCAGTTGGTGGCACCTTCTCTATAGAGGCCCTTGGGCCTGGCTTCTGCCAGGACCAGCAGCTCAGCGCCCATTCCCCCACCTCCAGCCCGTCCCCGGTGCAGACATGGCAGACACACACCTGCAGAGTTGGACGTGGGCGCGGGCGTGCACGGCCAGTGCTTGCTTTTCTTTTTCCTTAGGGTATTCTTGGACATTTTATTTTGAAACAAAGCTAACATCTGAGTCAGAAAGATAGCACAGAATTCCAGCGACCCTTCACGAGCCTTCCTCATTGTGAACATCTTACATAAATAGTGACTTTATTAAAACTAAGAAATTAGCATAGAGGCCCTGTAGCCTAGCAGTTGAGAAAGTCAGATCCCACATGGCTCCCAGTTTGAATCCCAGCCCTAGTGGCTTGAAAAACCTGCTGGGTACGTGCACGCATGCCCCAAATCCTAACAGAATAGAGTTGGGGCGGGGATTGCAGTGTGACCATGCCCCACTGGGGGCGCTTCTCCTCTCCCCTTCTGTCTCTCTGGCTAGCACATAAGCCCTCTGGCAAAAAAAAAAAAAGAGAGAGAGAGAGAGAGCAAGAGAAGAGAAAAAGGGCCAGCCTGTGAACCAGGTAGCGGGACCCCACTGGCCGACTGCATGGTTCGAGTCCAGGACCCAGTGGCCAGAATCTGAAAGAGAGATATGAAGAAGGGACCGGGTGGTGCAGCCAGTTCCCACAGCGAGCTTTCCCTTCTCTCTCAGCGAAGCAACCAGCAACCAGCTGCAGTACAATTTCCTGTTTCCCTCTAAGGGCCTTTTTCTGTGAGGCTCCAACGGTGCCTGCTCTCACAGCTGCCCTGGAGGTTAGGTGGGGCCCTGCGGGGCCTCAGGGAGCTAGTGGCAGACCAGCCTGTGGCTTGGGTTCT